CTTCAAAGGCCGGTGAGCAACACCAAGGGCTGTTCAGGGCTTCAGCCTGTTGGAGTCCTTTTCAGGACTAAACCATAGGTGGTCCCACTCAAGGGCTTAGAGTATGACACAAATGATTTTAGGAATCAAATATAAAAAGCATGAAATCCATCTGATGTTTCTAACTTCCATTGTGCCCTAGATTTGTTGGACGTCCAGGAGACTACGTCTACATTTTCCATTCTTTCCGAATGGAAGAGGTAATTGCATTTCCATCTTGTCTGTGATCATGTTGGCTGGGAGCACCATCTGCCCCTGCCACAGGGGTCCAGCAGATGTTCTGACCCACCTTTCTTCTGTCCACCCTAGTGTGCTCCAGGCGGTTGCCTAATGGAGTTGTGTATCCAGCTCAGTATCATCATGTTGGGCAAGCAGCTGATTCAGAACAATTTATTTGAGATTGGCATCCCGTAAGTAGCAACTTCTGATCATTATTTGTTTTTAAAAACTGCTTTTTACACTTCATGCAGTGCACTGTGTATCCACCTCCCCTGGATGTGAACGGCATTCACTGGTTGCAGGAAGGATTTTTGCAGTCAGTCTCTGTCTGCTGTACAGGAGAGTCTTGAAGGCCAAGTTGAATGACCAGCAACCTGGTCTAGAAGGAAGCTGTCCCTACCCATGGCAGGGGGTTGACACTAGATGAGCTTTAAGGTCTGTTCCAATCCAAACCACTCTGGAATTCCATGATTTTATGACTGTGAATAGCTGCATCCTTGCTGCACCTACATCCAGCAGTGCAGATGTCTTTGAAAAGTGTTGGGCAATCTATTGCTTTCCTACTGGTTACCAAGAGGTGCAGTAGTTAAACATGTGATACAGTTATAACCATGTTGCAGTACCTGATCCCTGATACTTTAGGCTTATTGGTGGTGAATGGCCTTGTGGGGAAGCCACATGAGGAGTGGCTGAGGTCACTTGGATTGGTCAGCCTGGAGAAGAGGAGACTGAGAGGAGTTCTTATCACTGTATACAGCTTCCCCACAAGGGCAAGTGGAGGGGCAACACTCACCTCTTCTCTCTGTGACCAGTGACAGGACCCAAGGGAATGGCCTGAAGTTGTGTCAGGGGAGGTTTAGTTTGGATATCAGGAAGAGCTTCTTCCCCCAGAGGTGTTTGGGCACTGAACAGCTCCCCAGGGCAGTGCTCACAGCCCCAAGCCTGACACAGCTCCAGGAGCATTTGCACAATGCTCTCAGCACGTGGTGTGGTTCTCAGGGTTGTCCTGTGATCCTTGTGGGTCCCTTCCAACTCCAGCTGTTCTGTGATTCTGTGATATTGTGGTTCTTGCAGTTTTTATGAAGATAGATATAAAGTTTATTGTGCCTGTTAATGTAAAATAACTGAGAAATGAGCAGAGAACAGAACATAACTGAACTGTTTCCTTTTCCCTCAGAAAAATGAAGAAATTGATACGATACTTGAAACTAAAGCGTCGGCGTTCTTTGGACCATGAAGAGCACATGAAAAAAAAGCAGCGTTATGAAGTGGACTACAACCTGGAGCCTTTTGCTGGACTTACCCCTGAATATATGGAAATGAGTGAGTGTGGCAGAAAGAAGGCATTTTAAACCATAATTATTCTGACTAATTGGGATTGAGAGCTGAGCTTTTTGAGCTGCAGATTCAGTGGACGGTGGATATGAGGATAACTGAATTATTAACGTGTACAGTCTTGGACCATGGCTGCTTGAGGGCTGAATTCACAAACTCTTATTTCAGCACAATATTTTAGATATTTTCTTTGAAGCCATGTGACATGTCACTGTCAAGTCTCAAATGCAAATGATTAAGTGGCATATCGTTGAGATCGTGTTTTATCATCAGTTGTACTCCACATTGGCAATAACTTACTTAAGATTTGATTATTTTCACACCAGTCTTTTTCTTCTGAAACTGGACTAAATCCTGTCAGAGAGAGATATGTCTGTAGGCCAAGTTGTACTTGACGTATAGGTTTTTCTCAAGTAATATATTATGTTGAGTGAAGCAAATTAGAATATCTGATGACCTTGATGTTCAGAGTACTTGAAACAGATGGAAATTTAATCATACAAACTACGAGATCATTCTGTCAGTTCCTAAAAATAAGAAAAGATGCAGTTACTGAGATCAGCATTGGGAATTAACAGAGGCAGAGAGAGAAGGGGCACTGGCAGTACTGGGATGAGCGTGACATCAGTGCCATGTCCTCATCAAACAACAAGCAAATCTGATCCCAGACTGTAGGAAGCAAATTAGTAAAGGCAGAGAATCAGCCCTGTCCTTTTCAAAGTTTCCAGTAGGATTCATGAAGGCTAAAAACCTGCCAGGTGGAACATGGCAAGTTTAGGTAGAGCTAAGATTACTGCTGTAATCCCACTCCTTCAGTTCACTCCTGTGCTGGCCTTGCCCATGGAAAAATTGTGTTAGGAGCTTCCCCATCCTTCTGGTTACTTTGCCTTGCCTTTTGCAAGGAGGCAACTGGCCCTTCCATGCCCAAATGGAGCAGCCATCATACAAACCATGCCTGACACAGAAAAATGTCACTTAATCTCTCAGCACATGTCATCTTATCAGAATTTGAGGATGGCACTGAGATGATGATGGTAAATCCTATCCGCAGCCACTGAAATGGTTTCTTTTTCTTTTCAGTTATCCAGTTTGGGTTTGTAACTTTGTTCGTTGCATCCTTCCCACTGGCACCTTTGTTTGCTTTATTGAACAACATCATTGAAATCCGTCTAGATGCAAAAAAATTTGTTACTGAGCTGAGGAGACCGGTAGCAGTGAGAGCAAAGGATATAGGTAAGTGCCTATTGCTATTGTATCCCTGTTTGTTTATTCCTGGATTGATGGCAGGATATTATTATGCTGAGTGAGTTTCAATAACAGGAAGATATTTATAGGAAAATTCAAAACATTAGACTGTGGCTTAACTGTGAACTGCCATAATTTATCGAGGCTTTGCTTTAAAATAGGAAGACCAGAGCTTTAAATTCAGATTAATATTTTATTAAGTAAACATTATCACTTTTTAAATCAAAGTGATCAATGCGATAGCAAAATACCTCGCACGGTTCTGCACATCAACAGTCCTTCCTGGCAACGCAGTTTTCTTGCAGAAGCAAAAATTTCTGCATTTAATAACTCTGGACTGGCCTCACAAATACCCTTGAGAATGAGAGGAGACTCAAAAGTTTGTGGGTAAATGTATCCCTTTGTACCTATTCAGCAGTAATATTGGAAGGGTGAAAGCTGCAGTGGATGTAGCTGGAACTGGGCTCTGTGTCCATACAGGGACCACAGACCAGTCCTCCCCTTCAAGGGGAGCTAATGCCTGTGGGTGTATGTAACAAGGGAGATGTTTCTCCCAAGTGTTGGTTACTTATGACTAAAAAGGTCATTAAAATAAAAATAGGAATAAAATAATTGTCCTTATTACAGGGCCAGCCAGCAGGAGCAGGGAAGTTTATGATCTGTTACTAAACTCTGTGTTCATTCTACTATTGTACAGGCAGAGCTTTCCCTTGGGCTCATCCTTGTGCCCATCTTAGACTGGGAGAACAAGTTTTGTTATGACTTTTGCCATGGTTTTGCTGTGGGGGTATTTTGTGGCTGCCTGAGGTGATACTATGGGCTCCGGAGATGGTAGAGAGGGTGGTGTTGGGTTTGTGGTCGTGGTGGGTGTTGATATTATTTTTTTACATTTGTGTTTAAGAGGATGTTAATTGCGATTCAATCCCCCTCTTGTGGGTGAAGGAACTCCATCTCTTTCAGAGACATCCCAAAGTCAGGCTGTAAGATGGCCACAGACAAACCAGAGAAGGTTTTAGGGCAGGTGTCAGCAGAATCAGGAAAGGGAGTAGGGAGCTGGTCTCACTTGCCTGATGCAGTGGGTAACCACAGAGTTCTGTCTCTGCTTCCACTGATACTGTCATACCTGTTCCTGAAGTTCAGTGCTGTCCCCTGCCCAGACTGGCTTATGTGTGCTATGCCAGAAGACCAAAGCTATATGAACTATGAGTTAGCTGTCAAGCACTCAGCCAGGCTGGAGTAGTCTTCCAGGGATGTGACCTTGTGTAAAGCCTCCTACATCTTCCTTCCTCTTCAGCCCCAGAATAGGAGAGTGTCTCATCAGGGCTGTAACCACAGAAAGCTGGTAGCAGTCCTGGGTTTCTCCATCAAGACTGAATTTTGCAGTTTGAATCCTTCAGCTGAGAAGAAATTTCCAAGCTGTCACTAATGACCAGGAGACTGCTGGGCCAGGCACGAGGGTGCATGACCACGTGCACTAAACCAGCACTTTATGTAGCCTTCAGAGAAACCCTTCCCTGAGGAATGGACCTGGAGCTGAGGAAGGGGCAGAGCTGGGGGACTTCATGCAACATCCTCAGCCTAAATCCTGAGGAGCTGAACCTGAGTCAGTGTGGGGTTGGCAGGTATTACCCTTCATATGCACGGAGCCTGTGCTGAGGAAAGCTGTACCAGGATGGTTTTCAAATGCAGATGGGAAAAATCCCTCAAGTGGCTTCACTGCAGCTTTGCTTCTGCAAAACTGTGGTGGGATCAGCAGTGACCAGAAGGTGTAGAAACAGATTGAAGTAGACCAGGACACACTGCACCATGTGTGTGGAGGTTGCAGCTCCTTTATTTGTAGATTTCTTATTCTCCTCAGGCATTTGAAAAGTATGAATGAAATTTCATGCTGTTTTCTTTTCCACCTATGCTGGCATTCCTCTTTCTCATACTTGCCTTCCTCTTCCTCAAAGGAGCTTAAAGCCTAAAAGCTCAAAGAAAAAACAGGTGCCTAAACATATTTTTTGAAGACAGAGTTGGGCTCCCTTTGCTTACAGGTCATTAAATTCTCTCTTATAATTTGTTCTTTTTGTATTTAAAATATACCTCTAGTTTGGGTGCTTCTAACACTGTTAAATGAAAGTCTAAGTTATCTATTTTGAAGGGCTAGAACAGCATTTATATTGTGTCTCTTTCCTTAGGAATCTGGTATAATATCCTCAGAGGAATTGGAAAACTTGCTGTCATCATAAACGTAAGTAAATCAGCATGACTAAAAGTTGAATTCAATGGCTTTTCCATTCTGCTCCATGTGTTTTATTTCTGCAGAAGTCCCTCAGATCAAGTGAAAGTATATGGTTTAGAAATTTCTGGAAATACTAGAGAATTAGTTGCAGGGTTTATTTAAGAGTTGTGATGGTAGTAGCAATAACATAAAATATTAAGTAGTCAGTGCAGCTTTTCTCCACAATGTTTTAATGAAACAGATTTGCCCTTCAAACAAATGTGACCACAGCTGCTTACTTTTACTCTTTTGGAATACTATGCTAAGATGATGTGTTTTTTAATTTCGATGCTATTTTGGGTCTGGCAGTCAACTGGGTGAGAATCAGTTCAGCTCCTCAGAGCACAGTGTCCCTCCATTGAAAATCTGGCCTTGATCTGCACTGCTCCTGCTCAGAGAGCTCTGAAAATCCTCAAAACATTTTTATCTCAACATCAACAACTACATCCCAGCCCTTAGAAAAATTCAGTGTGCCTTAACATATTCATGGATGTACTTATCTACTATCCTATACAATCGATGTCCCCAGTGGTCATCCTCCCTGCAGCCCAGCTGGGGAAAGATGAGACTGAAAGCTGAAGGACCAGCTGAAAACATGTTTGCAGCAAACCAGGGGCTGTGTAGGGCTTATGACCACATGTCCATGGACTCTCTTGGGGTTTTTTGACATTATCCAGCCTGGGAATCCCTTCATTTTGCCCCAGGGGTCTGTTGTGCTATGGCAAAACCATTCTTTTTGTTATTTGCTATGCTGTTTTAGTTTGTCTTTACCATTTCTTCTCTTTTTCTTTGGAAATAATTTCTCTATTTTATTTCTTTTTTCTCCCATGTAGTCTCTCTCTTCGTCCTTGTCCAGTGTTATTTTTCCTTCTTTGATCAATGTACTACTCCTCTTTACCATAAAATAAGTAAAACATTTTGTACTGTGTTTGTTCCACATGTACATGAGATTTATGCCAGTGAGAATGTTTCATAATGATGATAAATGAAGAGGGCTGAAGTTGTGAAGAATTCAGCCAAATTGGCTGTTGTGCATTTTCTGTATGATCTTTTTAGAAAACCATTTTAAATAACCAAATGAAATGCAATTTATTTTGTGACCATAAAAATAAAACTGGGCTCAGTCTGCTCATCCTTTTATCTCGATGGAGTTAAAAACCACATGCAATTAACAGCCTTTTGCAGTGCAGTGAGAGTTGGAAGAGTCAATTCACTGTCAGTTGTTTGCAGAACAGAAAAGTACTTGGAAATCAATCAATTGGACCTTATGCAATGCTTCAGGAACGAGCTGTGACTGGGGCACAGGGAGGCAGCACTGTGTTAGTTCTCCTCTAGTGCTGGAGGTACAGCTGCTCCAGTCTCTGAAGGCCTCAGGTTGTCCACACAGACATCTCGGTGTGGAATTACTCCAATAGCTGCAGCTTGGAAGAGTAAGCAGTAAATACTCCCTTGTTGCAGCAGTGAATGCTCCATTTTTAGGGCCCCATGGGCTGCAGTTCGCCCTGAGCTGTGCGAGTGGTTTGGGCAAGTCATGATTGAGGATATTGTTAACTTAACCACTGCCTGAATATTGTGCTCACTCTTTACTCTTATGGCTTAGGCATTTGTGATCTCATTCACATCCGACTTCATTCCACGCCTCGTGTACCTGTATATGTACAGTGAGAATGGCACCATGCATGGCTTCGTCAACCATACACTATCCTCTTTTAATGTCAGCGATTTTCAAGCAGGAACAGCTCCAAACGACCCCTTGGACCTTGGCTACGAGGTTCAGATCTGCAGGTACTCTCTTAAATGATAGCTAACATTAAGTATTTTCACAGCTGGCTAAGAATGGAACAAACTTTTACATTCCTGGGGCAGGTCCCTTGTATTTTCCATACGTTTGGTAACGTTTTATATCAGATGGATCTGTTGCCTTGAACATCTGAGCTGACATATTAAGCAATCACAAAGCCAGAACAGAAATTACTGCTCATTTTGAGAAATGGAGGTTAGCATTAGTTACATTCAGTGTGTAAAGGTTTTTATTATTATCTAATCCTTTTTCCAGGGAAGGAGATACATGATAGAGCACAAGGATGCTCTAAGGGAACAAACTCTAATGTCATGTCATTGTACACATGCTGTAGATATAATGACCATGACCTCTCTTTTTTGAGTGAATCTGCTGAAATGACTGCTCAGAGATGTAAATAAACAAAAAAAACCCAACCAAAATTGCATATGTAGTAGTTTTACTTGCTTTTACTTTCTCCTGGTTTCCTTCTGTTGATCTCTGGGCATAGGATAAATGAGGTCTAAGCACAGAACTAACAAAACAGAAGTGTTAAAGTGATCCAATACCAAAATGCCAGATTTATGTGCTTTCTAGTCCAAGGCTCTGTCTTCCCATCCCAGCATTTGGCCCATATTTCAAGGATTTTTAAATTATTTGAAAATACGGAGCCCTAATTCTTTCAAGGTACTGACAGGATGATGTGGTTTTACATTTAATGTATTTTTCTTGCTCCTGTTTCTAACAAGTTATTGTTGATCAGCTCATAAATTTTCTGTAAGGTGAAATTCTCCCTCTCCACAAGGCAAAATGTAGCTGTGATCTTTTGCTAATCATGTTATGTAGTGTAACATGCTCTGTGGATCTGAGATCAGTATTTTTGTCTTTAAAACCAGTTTGAAAAATACATGTTGTCTTTTTACCTATCTTAAAAGAAAATAAACTATCTGAGCTGTATAGTTCACTCTGTCTTAGGAAAAATTGATGTTATATCTACTAATCAGAGGGTATTAAGATGGAAGACCTTTAATTTTGAGTAAATTTTGAAGGGTAATGGAGACTTTGAGCTGTGTCTTGTTTCTGAGGGGTTAATACTTACTTGTAATAGTGAACTTCCTTTAGCCAGCTCAATTTACTGTTCAAGTGTTTGTTATTAATTCCTCCTGGTGCTAAAGTTTGTGAATGACATCACTGATTTCCTGAGTCTTGTTTTGCAGATACAAAGATTATCGAGAACCTCCCTGGTCTGAAAACAAATATGACATTTCAAAGGATTTCTGGGCTGTTCTAGCAGCAAGATTAGCATTTGTGATAGTTTTCCAGGTAGGTTACACTGCAGGCACTTGAAAATAAGTGAATAGGCCAAAGAAATACCATCTTTCTCTGTTGTTTCATGGAAAAGCAAAAGAAATTTGCCCATCTTCTTCACACTCTTCATCCCACCCAGTCAGGCATAGGTATATCCTCAGTGGAAAAATTCATCCCCAGGGACTGCCTGAACTGGTTTGATGCAGAAGAACCTAATGACCTTAGAGAGCAGCAAAGCACAAGGCTGATGCTAATTAGGTCCCACCAATTTCTCCCATAGGATATCAACAATTTCACTGATGCAGCATAAACTTCATCCAAAATAATTTCTAGAGCTAGCCAAGAAATGAAATTTCCAAAAGAGTTTAATTTGCATCTGAAGAAGAAGGCAAAATCATGTAATTTGTCCTAAAATTACATTATTCAATCACAACAGTGATGCAGGTTATTGTGACACAGGTGTTTTAAGTTTGCCTTATCTGAACAACTTGTTTGGAAATTTCTGTTGGTTTTTTGGATAGAACATGTATCTTTCTGTGAAAGACCTCCCTTTCATTGAATCAAGGTTTTTAAATCAGAAACATTTAATTGTAATGTATTTTACCATCTTTCACCATTTTACCTCTTGTATTTGCTCCTGCCTTCCTGATGTAAAACTCAGGAGCCATTTACCAATGACAAATTTCTTTGGATTTTTAAGTGGCTGTGTCAGTACTTGTACATAAATCACCAAGATCTGTGCCTGATGTCTTTCTCTGCTCCTAACATGAGCAAGCAGTTGGGGTGAATTTGGTTCAGTATTAGGCTTGTGACATGCAGCTGAACCCAAATCAAATATTGTCCTTTCTTCACTCCTCCCTTCTAAGGACACCACGAGCAGCCCCTTCCCCTACAGCCATCCTTTTGTTTGACCTTGCTGACACTTTTTCACACTTTCATTTTCAGAACTTGGTCATGTTTATGAGTGACTTTGTTGACTGGATTATCCCAGACATTCCCAAGGACATTAGCCAGCAGATTCATAAAGAGAAAGTTCTCATGGTGGAGGTCTTCATGAGAGAAGAGCAAGGGAAGCTGCAAATGCTAGAAACCTGGAAAGACAAGGACAAGAAAACAGGTGAAAACTGTAACAATCACAGCCCCAGACTCTCCAGGAGCCACAGTGGGAGCTTGTCCTCCTGCCATTCATATCCTCTGGATGTGTAGAAGAGGAGGGAGCTGAGGATGTTGGGGCATTCCACTGAGACACAAGCCATCGCGTAAAGGGCAGGACTCGAGTAATGGACAACCTGGTGCATGTTGAAGGATGTGCTGCCATTTTGCTCCCATCTTTGTGAGAAATGCCCTTCTTGCAAACATGGAGGACCACATTCTATTTCTGATAATGTTGTTTTTTTCTTTTGCACAAGCAGTAATGCAGGGAATTTTTATATTTCATGGTTAGGTCACACTATTGTGCATTAATCAATGCAGGTACATAGTATGTCTTGCTAGAGAGATTCTCTGAGAATTTGACCTTAGCCTGTTCATTAACTGATTAAATAAAGATAAATTTTAAGTCATAATAATACTACTAATCTAAAATCATTCTGGAAACCCAGGTTTGAAGGTCCATGGGGTAACTCTATAAATCATATGCAAAATCAGCGTTAGAGTGTGCCCTAGTATTCCTTTTGGCAGGAAAGAACCCACAAAAAGCCTTCCAGGCTGACTTACTTTCCAGGACTGGGTTTAGCTCTGTGTCTGAACAAGCAAAGCTCCCACTGAGCTTTAGTGTCCCACAGGTGTGGGGGGCACTCGTGGCAACCTGCTGCGTATCCAAGGTCCTCACCAGGGCACTGCTCTCTTCAGAAACATCAGGAAAGGGATTCTGGCAAGTCCTTTCTCACCACTGATGTGGATGGAGCTACCTCAGTGCCCCAGGCTGTGTGGGAGCAGTTCCCAGCAGCTCCCTGCTCACAGCCAGGCAGCAGCAGCAGCACAAATCTGGAGAACCTCCCAGCAGGTAGATGATCTCAGGGCATTTTGTTAAGTGCCCTGAATTAACGAGCACACATAGAGCTCCAGTGACTCACACTGCCCTGCCTAGTACTCGGGACACTGCTGTTGCTGAGGAAATTCCCTTCTCCCCATTGTTTTAGCACATCCCTTTCCCAGACAGGTTTTTCCCTGTAGCCCTCAGCCCTCTGCAGGAGAAGGGAGTCTGCACCCCAATTTCACAGCCAGTGGCTCCCACAGACTTTCTGCTGTTGAATGGCATTTCCCAGAGGCTGTGCTAGAGGAGGAAATCCAAAGTGTGTCCCACTTACTGTCTGCAATGGAAGTTTTGTCTGCAGTGGGGCTACAGGACCACTAACCTTCAGTTAGTTACAGGACTTTTCTTTTTGTCTTAAAATACTCTATCTTTTGTACAAGGAGCTTCCTGAAGTATAAGTCTAAACCCCTCACTTACCATGCCTAGCTAAAGCCCATCAGTACAACTCTTTTTAAGCATAATACATTTTAGTTTTGCTTTGTCAACCGATAAACTGCACTTCCAAATAATATTGGTGCAATTAACCTGATTTCTTTCATTGCTTTGTCTTGTCCATGGCACTTGCATTGCAAATATAAAACTGAAAAAGAAAATAAAAAGGAAAGATTTCTTTAAAGTCTAACTACTGTATGGTTTGTTACAAAACCAAATGTCACAAGACTCTTTTCAAGAGAAGTTATTAATTTCTTTTTTTCCTTTTCTTTTTTTTCTTTGCCAAACTAATTTAAAGATTACTGCTAGAACTTTACAAAATGCCATATTTAGCTTTTGATATATTTATTTGTTTTAAAGTATGTGATAAACTTGATATTTTTCTGTAGTCTGTCCAAAGAAGGTACCAGAAAAGAAACTATGTGGAAGAAAGAAAATGGTATTAACCAAATATTCTTGAAGCTTATTTAAAAATATTGATCCAACCAAAGATTTTTATTAATAAAGGGCTTATATTTTGTTAACTCTTGTTTCTGTTGTATTTTGACTTGCAGGAATGTCACTATTTTTAAAATTTGTAACTTACAGTAGTGTGTTACTGTAGGGCCAAATCCTGCCTGGTTTATTCCCACTTAAGCATTATGCCTGGTAGGAAGAGTTTCCCAGCTCAGGCCCACTGACTGCAATAGGACTGTGAGTGGGAACAAATCGAGCAGAATTCTGTCCACACATCCTGTTGAAAACATGTTCTTCCTCTCATTCCTTGGTAGCCCAAAAGATCCAGAAAAAAGCCAAACATGAACTACCTATTCTGAAGAGAAATCTTAGGGAATGTCCTTGAAAGAGATTTAATCTGTAAATAGTCACCTGAAAGTGTTCCCAACTGAATACTGACATTCCTGTAAATGTTAAAACTGTATCCTGAACACATACGTGCCAGAGTTTTTCATTATTTGCTGAAATCATGGAATAGTAACAGTCGCTTATACTTTCTTTTGTACAGTGAATTGTTTGAAATGGAATTTTGTATATAAAAATCTGTATTACTACTTAGATATCTATAAAATTCTTTCATGGAATCATTTTTTTAAGAAAAGCAAATATATACTAAATCTGTTTATTTGGGTTTTTTTTTCTTTGAACACTTAATTTGAAATAAACTTCAATATGCAAGAGTTTCTCCTGTGGGACAGGTTGTGTTCCCAACCCTCCCTGTGCTCTGAGTGTGCAACCACGAGTACTGTTCAATCTGAGCAAATCTGAGCTACACAGCAACTGGTGTCAGTTTGCCTAAGGGTGGATCCATCACATCCTTCCCCGTGCCCAGAGCTGAGATGAGCCTGCAGGTATTGTTTGCTTCAGTTACAGAATCTTCCTAAGGACATAAAAGGTAAATATTGTGTTTGCACTGCTGTACCTACTTGGAGATAGATGGATCTCAGGTGGAGTTCACTGATCTCTGAGAGCACAGAGGGAGGTTTGGGTTCGAGCACAGACCTCGATGCTGCACCATAGACACTGAATATTCAGGGGTGGATCTTATTCTGGGAGCTTTCATTCTCTTCTGGTTTGATCCTAGGCATTAGCAGAATGTAACATGGAAGAGCTTTCCCTAGGACATTTGAAATGAGGAAGAATGCTACCTGCTTTGTTCTCTGGAATTGAAAAACATGTTAATTATTAAGAGTGGAATGGTAAAGCTAAAGGAGTGAAACTCAGGGATTCCTTTGGCTGTGTCTTGCTGAATTTAACTCTGAAGGGAAGCAGTGGTGACACTGTGGATGTCATATTTTCATTGCCTGGAGGGACCTGTGCAAGCACAGCTGGGCTCACAGCCTGACTTGCTGATTACAATTTTTGATCCTTTTCCCATTAAACTGTTCTGTGAGAAGGCAAAGCAGGAGGTTCATACCAATCCTCCTTTTCTAGCCAGAAAATATTAATGCTCCAACTCGTAAAATTCACTTAGAAGGTGGGAATTGTGTTCTGAGGTAATGGATGTGGACACCAGAAGCAGGTAAATCACTGCCTAGCTGGTAACTCTTTGAGTGTCTTGTAGCAGATATGAGCTCATTAGGTATAAAATAATGCCTTCCAGACTTGCACTGTGGTTGTGGTACTTTTTCTGAAAGTTTTTCATATTTGGGATGAAAGTAGAAACAAGTTCTAGTTTTACCAATAACAAATCTGAGGCAGGATTATATAAATAAGGATTTCCTGGAAAAGAAGAAAAAAAAGGAACTTAAAATAGAGAAGGAGGGACCTGAAAGTAACCAAAGAATAACTGAACATGCCTTGGTGTGACTCACAGTGACCACATGGGCCAGGTTGGATAAAAGATAGCAAGACAATTAATTGTATTTGTACAAATACAGCTAAATTCTGTACCATTGTGCCAGTATCTTCATGACGTGCATTCAGCCTGTTCTTGGCATGCTTCTCCCAAAAACTGTAAGTACAAACCCCCATTTCCAAGCCCTGCTCACATCAAAAGAAAAAAACAAAACCCAAACCCAATGTTCTAATGTATTAAAGAGGAAAGTCATTATATTGGTTGGCTTGGCCCAGGGGCAAACACAGACAATAGGGAAGATTACTGCTGGAAATGGCTTTGTAGCCCATTTCTGAATCATTCCTGGATCACACACTGTTTGTGTCTTTGCTCCAGACTTTGGATGGCAGAAAGCAAGGTCAGTTGGTGCACCCGAGGAGGAAACTGTACCCACCCTCTCGTGTTGCCAGTATGAGTCTAAATCTTCTGGATTTCCATGTCTTCGTGTTTCCAAGATACTGTCTTACAAATATTTTGAAGTCTTAAATAGCTTAAGAGTGAATAAGTCTCACGTCAAGGCACAGACACATTTCTATTTTTAAACCCTTCATGCTCTCTGGTCCTGAGCTGTTAATGATCATTTTGGCTGTGGTGATTTCCAATAAGCAATAATAATTTACTTTTCATCTTGATACCTCAGGAGTCTGACCTCTCCTGGAGCTCCATACATCAATTGAGTGCATTCATATTTTCCTATGAATTTTTCAGAGTAAACAACTTTTCTTCCTTTAGCCACTGAAGAAACCATGTCTTAAAATTTATATGAATTCCATTCAAACTCTGGTTCAATTCTTTGCACATTTGAGCACTATTTATTCCATGCCCAAACATAATATGCCATTTTTAGTACAGCAAAGAAAAACCAAAGCTCTTTTTTAACCTCCTTCTTTTTTTAGCCCAACAGGCCTTTTCTGAAGAGGAAACTAACCATTCATGTGGCTTCTTTTGAATTTTAAGCTCTATCCTTAATTTTTAATGCCATGCATGCCACCTGATTTAAGGCCACCTGGAGCCAAGGAAAATAATTCCACTGATTCCCTTTGACTGCAGTGCACTTTGCAGGGGCCTAAGCATTGGTTATTGAATGGTTAGCTCCACTTAGAATAAAAACTCATGGCAGTTATCATAGGTTACTTTTATAAACCAGTGGCAGCTAAAGACATAATCTATTGATGCAGATACGTTGTGTGAGCAGTAAAGAGTTGGGCACACCAATGTGCCCATGAGGTAAAGGGTTAGAAAACCCAAGGCATGACAGAGTCATGTGAACTTAGTTACACAAGATTGAAGATTTTGAGGTCATAGCTTTCATCCTGTGAGACAATTCTCATCTGTGAGGAAATTCGTGGCAAAATGGGAAATGTATCCATTTGGGTGTTTATGAGAAAAAGAATCAAAATGTAAAATATTTAGCAGAACAAACTTAGAATTGTAATTAAATCCATTTTCGGAGCAAGAGTTAAAAGCAGGTGGTTAGGGTCTTAGAGCAGAATAAAAGGTTATTTCCCATTTTTACTTCTCAATGAAAAGAGAGTGGCCATTTTCTCCAGCTGAAATACAAGACAGAGGTGAGGGAATAGGCAGGAAGTAGGAAGCAAATAGGACTGGGAGGAAGAAAAGGTTTTTGCCTGATGTTCTCAGACCCAAGTGACCTGG